AAAAATATTTGTAATATTTAAAACATAGCAATATGGTTATTATAATACTATATAGAAAACATTATACAAATAGCTATACAAATTAACTAAAATGCAATATGGTTTTATCTTAATAACAATAACTAAAGATTATTATTATATACAAATTTTAAACTATGTTAAAACAAAGCTTTTAAAATTAAAATAATGCTTAATATATTATCAACACTATCTCATCTTCATTTATTATATTTAGCAATGTTTACTAATAATAATTGCATTTCTTGTAATATATATAAAGAACAATAGTACTGGTTAACTTGTTTTAATACATCAAATTTAAGCTTTACAATTAACAATACTATACAACAATTCTTTAATTCTAGCAGACTAGAAACTACAAATACTAAACTACAAAAACTATATAACAAACTGTTCAATCATCAATATTTAACTTTTAACAACTATATCATGAATAACACAAATGTCTATACAAATTTACAAAGATATATTTCTCAACTACTTATTTAAACAATTTGAGAATATACAGATTCTAACCAAATTACAACTAATATTATTATTAAATTTTTAATAAAACTATCAGATAATATATACAATCAAATATGAAAACTATATTGTACAAAACTAGCTAATTGAATACACTAATACAATATACCTATTTGACTTAAATGTACTTAAACAAATATAATAATCTAAACAATACAAAATGTATATATTATCTTAAATTACTATATACTTATAATTGTATTTGTGATTTGGCAGACCAATAATACATAAAAGATGAACACAATATTTGCCTATTTATAGAAATAGCAAAAATGAAAACATCTATTTGGATATCTAAATAGATTAAATATAGCATTCCAACTAATAATATAATTAACTATTAAATTAGCAATACTTTAATTAACAAAATTTAAATGAGATTTAACTACTCTAGTAGGTTTAAATTGCAGATAAATTAGATTAAACAAGATAAACTTAGTATATCTATAGTCTGAGTCTTATTCTTGTAAACAATTTGTAAACTTAACCTTTGGTTAAAGAAACTCCTTGTAGATTCTTAATACAAATTACAATAAAAATAAAAGCAAAATCTTAACTTAAAAAAAACAAAAACAGTACTATTAGATTAATAAAAGCCTATAAAATATATTTAAAGAGATATATAAATAAATTAAATATTAAAATTTGTAAAAAGTATATAACTAACTAAACTTTTAGAATTATTAGAAAAAAAAGAATATATAAAAATACTATATCAAGTTATTTAAATTAGTAGTTAAAAATCTTGTTAGTTCTAAGTAATAGTAGTAAAAAAACAATAAAAAAATATTAGAATAATGACTAATAGAATTTAAATAAACTTTACAAAAATATAATAGTTTAATAATTAGTTTTAACTGTAAATGTTAGTCTAAACCAAAGTAATACTAAAACAGTTATAAGTATAAAATACAAAAAACTTTAGTGAGTTTAATACAAAGTTAAACATAACTTAATAATTATAATATATTTTACTAGTATTAACTAGAATCATTAGTAGAAAAAAAGTAGATATAAAATTTAAAATATTTAAATAAAAAATTTACAAATAGTTTTTAGTTATAACAACTAGTATAATACCTTTAAACAAACTACTTAAATTAAATAGTGACTAAAGTTGTATGAATAATTAGTTATATATTTTTTTTCATATTGTTCTTATAACTGTTATATAAACAGCTATTAGTTAAAACATATTATTAATACAATTTTAAATTATATATACTTGTTTTTTTTTTGCTTTCACTAAGGCTATTAGTTATTAGTAGTTACTGTTTTTATTGTAATTTAATTATGATTATATAACTTGTATAAGATGAGTATACAACTAGGCACATATACAGCTTTTGACTATCTATTTAAATAGTCTTTTTGCAAGTTTTATACTAGTTGCCATATCTGTAATCTGCTAAGAAATTATCTAATTAAATACTCTAATCTCTATATTATATCTGACAAATAGTATACAAGTTCTCATATATCAAAGTATTATCTAACCTAACTTTGATCTTTTTGTCTATATATCTGTCAAGTCATTATATATTTTAGAGTATATTATCTGATTATAGGACTTTAGTAAGCTTTTTGCTAACTTATTATTCATATTTAATTTTTTTTGTTAATAAGATTCATTCTTGCAAAGTTTACTTAAACATGGTACTAATTTCATAGCATATTCTTAATATTTATAGTATATCTTACTTTTATTCTTAGACTTCTAATTCAAATAGTCAAAAGGACTATGATCTGTTTTTGGTATTTTAAGGTTTTATTTTTCAAGATTCTTTTTTTTCAATTTGAGATTTTTAATAATCTGATTAGTGATACCTCTTACCTAAGATTCTTGTTTACCTAATTTCTTTCATATTGATATCTATTTTCTAGATCTAGTATTTATAGTAATATTATCAAAAATCTGTGCTATCTTACTGCTCAGATTTTTTCAAGTAGGCTTCAGCTTTTAGTTTTATAAATTTATACAATTACAAAAACTTATCTTACATTTGCACTGCCTAATGCTAATTTGTATTTCTTTATATAACTTTAATATTGTACAAATATTTCATAATTTGTTAGTTATGCTAATGCAACAATAGTTAAGATAGCTTATTCTAATTAATCAACAATATATTATTACTATAATACATCTTGTATATTATATAGATGATTATCTAAATTTTTGCTATTTATAAGTTTTAAACTCACTATTTACTACTTAAAGGATTAACAACTTATCTATTTTACTAAGTTGTCACATTCTTATATATTTATTTTAATATTAAGACTTAATTTTTTTTATAATAATTTTAATTAATTATAATTATATATATATATAATAAAATTCAATTATAATCAATTATTTAATAAGCCTAATATAAAGTAATTTATGCTATAATTATGAAATACATTATGTAATTTAAGTTGTTTTTTTTTAGTATTAAAATAATTTCTTTGATCTTTTGATTTTTATTAATACTTTTTTGATAATATATTCTATAAAAAACTATTATAAAAAAAATATACAATTAGTTATATATATAACTTTTTTATATTATTTATTTAAAAAATCTATCTGAAGATTCTCTACTAATTATTGTACTTAAGATTTCTACTTAAGTATTCTATTTTAAAACTCTGAATCTGCAACTTATATTAATATTACTAATTTATATTTAGATTATTATTTTAATCTTAGAACTGTTTTATTCTTAAAATAAACCTCATTATAACTAATTTAATATTATAATATCAGAACTAATGCTTGTAATTAAAATTAGTTATTAAACTACTGTATTCTTATAAAGTTTATTCAAACTTTAATATCTATTTTATAGTATATTTTTAATATTATAATATATATTTGTTCTTTTTTTTAGACTTTTAATTCAGATAATATTAAAAAAAAGATTGCAATCTGTTTTTTAATATATTAAATTAGTCTAATATCATTTTTTTTAACAATTTTGATAGTCTGGTTGGTAGTATCTCTTATTTAAAAGTTTTTATCTGTTTAGATACTTAGATATTAATATTTGTTTTTAGTGATTTAGACTTTATAGTAATATTATTAAAAATCTGTATTATTTTTTTATTTGAGTCTTTTTAAATAAACTTTTTGTTTTCTAATTTTTATATATTTATATGATTACAGAGACTTATCTTAAGTTTATATTATCTGATGTTAGTTTGTATTTTTTTGTATAACTAGTTACATAGATGCTTTGTAATCTGTCAATTATGCTAATATAACTACAATCACAAATGTCTTAATTCAATTATTAGAAACAATTACTATAATATGAATATTATATAGATGATTGTTTAAATTTTTACTATTGATAGGTTTTGAACATCTAACCTACCACTTGGAAGGTTAACAACTTATTCATTTTACTAAGTCACCACACTTCTGTAACTTAAGTTTTTGAAAATTATTATAACTAATAAATTAAAAATTTTTTTTTTAAAGTTAAATTTTTAATCAAAAACTTTAATATGCAAATTTGCATACCAAACCTGACGGTTTAAGAGATAATTTGTAAATTTACATAATTAAATTAATTTGCTTAGAATTATATTTAAGGTTTGGGTTAAAGTATAATTTATACTAAAATTTTACAAATTTTTTTTTTGTTAAAGCCCCGAATAGTAAAATTTTAAGTTGTGTTTTATACATTAGTGTACAAATAAAATTTCTCTATTTCAAAAACTAATTAATTTGCATGAAAAAAATTTTAAATAAAAATGTTTTTTTATCTTTCAAAAATTTTTTCAAACCTTAATGCAACTCTAAATACTAACTATAATTTAAAATTTTTATGTTATAACAAAACTTATAAAAAACATATATAGAAAAATTTTTATAAACATAAATGATTGGATTATCGGTTACGTATTAGGTTATCAGGTATAAAAAACACTTTCGTAGAATATGAGATCGGCTTGAGAACCAATTTCAGTAATTTAACAACTCTGCTATGTATAGATATCCATAAAAAAAAATATATATTTAAGTTGATCATCTAACCTAAAAATAGGTGCGAATGTAAATTCTCAACTACGCTCCGGACATTAAAAATTGAGGTAGAAACCAATAAGTGAATCGCTTAGTTCTCTTGGGAAATATTAGTATAACGATAAATTTAATATTTTATATTTTTTATATCCATATATTAATAGTTCATAACAATAACGATAATGGCTTTTGTAGAAATTTTAGATAAGAATGTTTGATGACAATGAATAAAAATTTTATACGCAGTAACATTAACAACAGTGATCGTTCCAAAAAACGATTAGCATGTAACATCTCTACCACTAGGTTTGGCCTGCTGCAATATCACGTGACAATCGGATCATTTCTTATCACTACATCACACAAAACCGTAGAGATAACCGCAGAAAGGAGAAAATTTCTATTAACCGAACTTGAGATTCTAACAGTCTGTACAGAAATGATAATTGATGATTCATCTTCAAAGGCTTTAAAGAAATATCTTAGTCATATTCTGGAGCCGATGTGTGTTGCTTTCTTTTACTTATGCGTTCTTGTTGTTGCTTGTGTTTAACGTTCACGATTTAAGTACGCACAAAAATAATTTTTTTTTAAATAATGTTTGCTGCAACAGATGCGACGCAGATCCTGATGTCTTGGCCGAATATGTCATTGCCCTCTTGAAACATGACAAGTCCAACCAAGATCTAAGGCAGCTGTGCATAGATCAACTCGACGATTTTCTTAAAGAAGGTACTGTTAAGTTTGAACGGTAACAGGCACCAAATCGCAACAATTTTGCTGCGGTTTAATATAGTATTTGCCTATTTTATAATAAAAAACAGAACCTTTCCAAAATGAAATTATCATCATTAATTCAAAATTGAGTTAATTTACTTAATTTATCCCATAGAAACGGAACCGTTTGTCGAAAAGTTGTTTGAATCTTTAGCTACCAAAGAATATCTCGGTGAGACAAGCGCGTTATCTACACTTCACATAAAGCAGGAGTCACCAACTACAAATACACATCCAACCAGCAATTCATCGATAGAAAATAAATCCAATTTACCCCAAGATTACCCTACAGAAAAAGTTGAAAATCAAAATTCTAAAATAGGAGTTCGAAAACGAGAAGAAAGTGAAGGGTCAGATGACGATGACGATCGTAATTATAAACATAGAGAAAGGGGTGGTGATAATAGTCGAGACGATTATCGACGGCACGGTGAACGGCCAACTACGAACCGTGACGATGAGAGGGATCCCAAGAGCAAGCGATTTCGTGGTGAAGGTATTCCTACCGGGCCTGCTGCAGGAGCAGCTCAATATAATAACAATTATCAAGATGATCGAACCTTTAAACGACGGCGTGATGAGAATGAAGAAGATTTTCGATCAAATAAAATTCCTCGAAATAATTTGTTACTAGGAGCGGGACAAAATATGCCTGGAACTGGCAATGGATATATTGCCGGAAATGGTACGGGTGTGGGAAGTGTTCGACGTCCAGACTTCGATAGAGACAACCGTCTAAATAGGAATTTTATACCAATAACGTCGAATCCCCCGGTTCCCAATATAGGTTCTGCACGATGGGGAAGTGAATGGGGTGCCAACGGAATGAACGTTCCGGTAAACGATCGATTTGACGACCGGAGAATGCGAAGCGGCAGAATGAACGACCGAGGCGGTGGTCGAGGCAATTCTATGGGTGTAAATCGCGGCGGCTATTCGGATTCTAGACCCGGACGGCGCCAGCGCTGTCGTGATTATGATGGTAAACAAATAATTTATTTATACAAAGTATGTATCATTTATATACCTATTACATTCTTTCCATTTTAAGAAAAAGGATACTGTATGCGAGGCGACCTATGCCCGTTTGATCATGGTGTCGACAGAATCGTAGTCGATGATGTTCCATTGAATCGACCATTTGATATCATATCCCCTATGGCTGCTACACCATTAGCTGGACCTGTAGGTATGATGGGGGGCGGTGTTGGTTCCAGACCACCATTTTTTATGGGTGCTGCTGGCGTACGTAATCAGTTCGAACTCGATACTGGTTTTTGTAAGTTTGTTATTCGAAACATTTATGTGCATATTATAACACGTAACATGATTAATCGAGGAATCATACTTTATTCTTCAATAATTGTAAAAAGCCCAAACATCTAGGGCGATGACCCCTACAGCAGATGCTTATGATCCTGAACGTGCTACTTTATCACGTCCTGAAGAATTGCTTTCACCAACTTTGATCGAACAAAAAGAAAATGAGATTCAACCTTCTTCCGAAAATCCAACCTCTGACACGACCATTCCTCTGACATCACCACAGAGTATTCCACATTTTCTTGATTCAAGCACAGCTCAACTTGCGCGCGGAGCCTCATTTAGGGGACGAGGTCGTGCTCGTGGTCGCGCCGGTTTCAACGGCAGTAATAGGTTTAATAGTCAAACAAACAAAAATGCGACATTAGTTGTAGAAAATATACCAAGTGAATTCTGTAATCTTGACAAAATTAACGAATTCTTTAAAAAATTTGGTACCATTACTAACATTAATGTCGACATTACCCACCACAAGGCTATCATTCAATTCAACAATAGTTCTGATGCCTATAAAGCTTATAATTCTCCAGAGCCAATTTTTGATAATCGGTTTGTCAAAGTATATTGGTACAAAGAGAAAGAGGATCAACAAAGTTTGAACACTACAACACAAAAGCAAGTTGTTACACCGCCTAAACCAGAAACTCCAGTAGCTATTCCTGAGAATCCTGCACAATCTTCAGCAGAAAAAGCGAAAGAAGTGGAGGAAAAAGCAAAAAAACAGAAGGAAAGTCTCAAAGCAATGCTCGAAATTCAAAAACAAAGAGAACAGTTAATTAATCGTCAGATTGAAGAGCAAAAAAAATTAATGGAACTCGCAAAAAAGAAAAATGTGAATGCCAAAAATCGCGAAGAAGTTCTGAAAACTCTAAACAAAGTTGGTGAAGATATTAAAAATGATACAACTGTAAGCGTTCGTAAACCTATTTTGACGGGAGTAGTTCCTTCAAAAAATTTATTAGAAGAAAAGGAGCGTGAACAGTTGGATAGGGAACTTGATATGTTAAGTAAGATCAACGAGACCGGCGTTGCAAATGAACCATCTACGACAACTTCCTCATCAACTGTAGTTCAGGCTAATTCAGAAACAGTAAATTCCGAGGTATGAATAGTTTTATCTTATAAGTCTAACCCAGTTAACACTCTTTCCTAATCAAATTCTTCGTTTATTTATAGACAAATGCTTCTGCATCCACAGGCTCGGGTGAACCTGTTTCATACCGCGGAAGAGGGCGTACACCATTCTATCGCGGTAGGGCTCGTGCTTCTTGGCAACGAGTCCGTGGTGGTGGCGTACGCTCTTTTAAGCTTGATAACCGCACCACAAAATTACAACTTAAAGAAGTTCCTGCAGATTCTAATGATGCTATCCGTAATTATTTCCAGGTTGGTCGTACAGATCTGATGGTTATCGTGTCTTAAAGATTTTATTACTAATTGATATTTATCTCATTATTAGCAATTTGGTGAAATTGAATCTGTTACGTTTGCTGATGAAGTGCGGTCAGCGATTGTTCAGTTCAAAAATAGATATGACGCTGAGCAGGTATTATATAACTGTCCTTTCGTTACACTAAATTGAAATTTTGAATTTAATATTTATTATCCCCTTTTTTCAATAGGCGCTTGCAAAAGGCCCTAATATTCCAAATGTTGGATCTGTGCAAATGTCATGGCTCATGGAAGCAAACTCTTCTCCTCGTCCATCTGAGGATACTTCTAACACTACAACTAGTCCGACTTCTAATACAGCCGATGCCTCAGATATTCAAACAATCGGAACTGAATCGCTCGCAAACGTGTCAAATTTCGAGGACGATGAAGATGATGAACGAGAACGTTCATGGAAACGTTAATATATATATTATTATTATTATTTTCTTTGCAGAATATATTCCATTCCTGTTAAAATTTAAAAATGAAAAAATGTGTATTGCGTATTCTTTATATAGTTTGGTCAACAAAACAAAGGATTTAGGTGTTATAATTACTTTTTATGTCCATATTTCTAGTGCTATTATTCTATTATCTTTTCTTTTTGATTTGTATATACTGTCAATTTTTTTTGTAATTTGAGCTCGCAAAATATAGCAGATTGTCTGCCGAAAGTGCTAATTATTAACATGTATAAAGTAACGAAGACTCACTGTTATATATATTTCATTAGTTTATTACAGGTAGCACTTGCAGAACGTAAGCCGACATAGATACTGGTATTATATTATTTAACTGATTTTTTATAACCAATTATGTATTGAGTTATACATGTATTTTTTTTTTTTTTTACTAAAAAGTATTTTTATAAAATATAATTGAAAATTTTATAAAAAATAAATTTTTTTGTTTACTAGATGAATTACAGTAGTTTAAAAAACAAGTAATTAGACGTGATTAAAATTAATAAATTTTGTGATTTGTGTAATAAAATTAAAATATATAGTATAGATTAGGGTTTATAATTAATGCAAGTTTAGCTTATATTAAAATTTAGCAAAAGTTTGTTATAAAATTTATAGTTTTATAGTCCTATTTAAACGTTAAGTTTGTAACATTCGTGTTTATAATAGTAAATATAATTTTATTTAATAAAACTAATAAAAATTAGTAATCTAAAAATACAATACATAAGAAGAAATACTATTTTTACCTTTTATTTTTGTTAATGCCATCTTTCAAAATACATAAAAGTGCTTTGAAAAAGATATTATTAAGTAAACCTTTTTTTTGGTATTAATTAAAGTTGTTTATTAGATCTTTTTGGTTTTAATGGTAGTAAAATTATTAAAATTAGACTTGTGGATCTTTTTTAAAAGTAAATTAAATATTTAAAAACTACCAGTTTGATGTTAATAATTTTACTATCATTAGAATCAGAAAGACCTAATAAACAACTCTAATTAATACAAACAAAAAGATTTATATAATAATTATATCTTATCTGTGCATTTTTTTGTATTTAGAAAAGTAACATTAGCAAAAATAGATGTAAAAATAGTAATTTTCTAAGCATAACAGAAGTTCATTTTAATTGGTTGTTAAGATACTTTGAAAAAAATATTGATTATATCTCAGATAAAGTATTGACTAATTACAAGCAAAAATTTTATAACTTTCAAATTTTTAAAAAACTAGTCAATATGCTCTAAAGACATCTTATAAATTTACAATATACTAATTCAGTTTTATATTAACTTTAATTAAGATTTTACAAAAGTTTTGTTATTTTTTTCAAAATAAATACATATAAATATTTATTAAATAATGTGTACATAACTATTTCTAACATTACTCTTATTATTATAAATGTCATATTCACAATTATACTTATATCTAAATAAATTATAATTAGAAATATTAAAATATGGTTTAGAATAATAATTTAAAATAATACTTTTACTCGTAAAAAATATAAACAAACTAGTTGAAGTAGACAAAATCTTTCAATTTTACTTACCAATCATTTAAACTATCAAATCATCTTCTAATCTTTCAAAATATTTATTTCTTATCTAGTTTTTGAAACTACTGCATCTTATTGCATCTCAGATTAAAAACAATAATTTTAAAGATAAACTACTAATAACTCAAATTGGTTATTTCATTTTATATTACAAAAAAAAAGTTTCATATGATATGATGATTTTTACTATTAAAAGTACTTTAAAAATTACAAATAACTATATAAAAAAAAAATCATCACTAATTATATTTATCCTAATATTAGCCAATCAAAGCAAATTTCTGTTATGCTAATTTTTTTTTTTTTTTAACTGTCCCAGATGATATCATCATGGGGCGCGTGTGGTGCTCTTTTTATTAAGTATAGCTGCTAG